ACTTAGTGTGATCATTTTAGGTTCAATAAAGAATTTTTATTTTTAGCTCTGAAACTGACATTAAAATCACTGTTCCTTTTTTCTTTTTAACTTCAACGTTTGACGAAGTTTTCTAATGGTTTTAGAATTGTAACGTTCATGTCATCTGCGTCAAAACTGACAGACCTTAAAGGTTTGCACAATTTTTATTTTATATATAGTCTTAGGATAAATATTTAAGTTAACCATTGGAGACAAAGATAACGCGTTAGTGAGAGGTTTGAGCTCTGACTCTTGTTGAACATATATTGTGTTAGATACAGATGCTTTACAGTTTGAGTCATTTACCATTAAAAAACTGACTTTAAGGGCATTGATTATCCCCATCTTACAGATGAGGCAACAGAAGAGTTGGGATTTGTAGTTCACCCAGAGGAAGTGACTAAAGTTAGAATTAAGATCTCTGAGACTCCAAAGCTTGTGGCCTTAATTATTATAGGAGTACCTTTAAGTATTGCCACCAGGAAGAGTGTGTAAAGGTTTAATATCAAGTCTTTTGTTTTCTTTTTCTGTTTGTTAGATGATGATAATTCAGAAGAAGGCTTCAACACTATTCATTCAGGAAGGCATGAATATGCATTCAGCTTCGAGCTTCCACAGACGTAAGTATTATGAGTAACAGGCATTTTTCACAAACCTCCATTCTTTTAAAGTTAAAATTATTCTAAATTTAAATATTTTTAGTTTAAAAAAAAACCCTTTTCATCACTGAATGTTGCTAGAGGAAAACAATACACTAAAAAAAGAAGCTGCTTTTTAATGTAGCCTGGCAAAATTATAGAAAGCAAAGCTCAATTCTTAGTACTCTGTCTCCAAATTCATGAGGTCTTTAAAACTGAAGTAGTATTTCATGTACCCTGAGTGAATTGGAAGGTGCTAGTCTGAATGTAAGCACTTTCTATTTTATTGTCAGTTGAAATTAGCAGAAGCATAGAGCTTATCAAGTCTCTTATTCAGTAATTTATAAAAATCCAGTGTTTTTTCTGTTAATGCTAACCAACAGCAGTAAGGTAAAAAGATAAACATAATTAGGAATATCCTAACTTTGATACAAATTCAGTAGCTTCTGTGCAAAGAGCTATTGAAAAAGTCACAAGAGTGATACTGTGACCTGGACTTAAAAGGAAACACCCATCAGATAACTGAATATAAGGCATGGAATAGAGTATGGAAAAAGGAAAGTGGTTTATTCTTAATGTAAAAATAGATCATCAGAAGAGATTATCCCCCCCAAATTTTCTTAATAATCTTTGTTAATTCTAGTACTTGAGTTGTTTTATGCGGATAGAACTCATAAATGGTATTTTTCAGAGTATTCTATTTACCATATTACTTAACATCTTTCTAAATGTAATGCCCTAATCTACTTTTAAGAGAAATACTGTCTGTGAATATAATGCTAATATTGGGTCTGAATAATTTATCTATAAACCAAAGTCATCTAAAGTAGACTCTGGAAGACTAACATAAATACTGCATTTTACTTTTCTGTGCTATACACGTTAATGTAGGAGTCCAAAATGCAAAAAAAAAAAATCTGTAAAAACCACTACTTCTCATGTTAATCTAAGTTAGTAAATAACTGAACACTGGGTATTTTTCTAATGAAATTATGAAAAAGAGACTAAACTCACTGAAATAAAACCTTCCACAATTAATAAAATCTGGGAGAGTTGAAAACCAGTTCTGATTCTCTTGATACAGATTAATAGAAATGTTGCTTTCTCTTATTAAGCCTATAAAGTTAGAAAACATGGCCAAAAAGAGAACACGAGAAGACTAGGAAATGGAAAAGCAGCTTTTTAGATTTTCGGTAGACTTTATAAAAGGTGAAATTCTGAAATTAATAACAGCTGTTCTAGGCATTTTCTAGACCTTCTTAGTTACTATAAAAAGAGAGAAAATTCCTAGCCAGTGTGTAGAATTTCTCAGTAGAAATACTAAAACCACTCTTAACTTTTTTAAATTTTCAATCTTTCAAGAATTGATTTCCAAACTTTTATAATTTTGCCACCAGCTTTAAAAGTAGCCTCTTCTTAGTTTAAAGGGATTGTATTCTTCTGGCTTTTTAAAGCAAAATTTCTTTAATACTTTAGTGTTAGCTATTGTTTTTTGGAAAACAGGTTTTTTTTTCCCCAATGACTTATCCCTTTGGAAATTAAAAAAATTCTGTTTGATACCTCATTGATACATAAACAGTGCAAATAGTAACACTTCTATGGTGAGCTACTGTATAATTATTAAAAAGAGGTATAAAATTAATATATTGAACTTTATATTCTGCACAGACCACTTGCTACCTCATTCGAAGGCCGACATGGCAGTGTGCGCTATTGGGTGAAAGCCGAATTGCACAGGCCTTGGCTTCTACCAGTAAAATTAAAGAAGGAATTTACAGTCTTTGAGCATATAGATATCAACACTCCTTCATTACTGGTAAGAATTGACTGAATTCTTCATTCTTTGTTTTTGGCATATAAATACTAAAGAATAATCACCTAAAACTATGCAATCTGTATAATTTTAAAATAGTGATTTTAAATTCCATAAATACTAATTTATTTTTAAAAATACAGTCAAGAGCACACAAATTAATGAAGAATATGCTCATATTTTCTGACACTGTAATAACTTTAAGAAAATTTTAAAAGTAAAGACAGCATATGGTATGAGATAACTCTCACTCGGAAGTTAAAAGAATAACAAAAAAATAGATCTATTCCCTGGATAATTTTAGTAGAGGAGGAACGGCAGTATCAATTATTATAAGACAATATCACTTACTATGAAAATATCATAATCTAAAATTTGAACTGCATTGATATTCCAATACAGGGATAGTTGTCAAATGATGGGGAGATTGTCACTTTCACGAAAAAAAAGAATTATATTTTAAAAGAAATCCTTTTTAATTGCATTTTTTTCATGAGATTCAAATTTATCTTAAAAATGAGAGTTTTCCTTTTTTCACATAACTAATTTTTACATTCTCAAAAATGTTAACATTTGGGATTATAACCAAGTTGCTTTTCAAGCTGCCTTTTTTTTTTTTAAGGCAGTTGAAGTGGAATGTGGAAAGGGTTTTTTTGTTTGTTTGATAGGTTGTTTTTAATTACTGTATATGTAAATAATGTGAGCTAAAACTATGTTTATGGAATATGATGTTAAGCCCTGTACCCCTTTTTTTAATTGGATGGAGATTTATATAAAGACAAAAATAATTGTATAATTCAGAAGCCATTGGTTAGTTTTTTAAAAAAGTATATTTGAATACACTTGGAAAAAAGCTACACTGCTTGTAATTTTAATTCTCCAAGAATTTAGGGTTTTATTTTAAAACATTGTTACACTGTCCTAATTTGTGCATTGACCTTTTTCTCTAAATTTATTTCTTACAGTCACCCCAAGCAGGCACAAAAGAAAAGACTCTCTGTTGCTGGTTCTGTACCTCAGGCCCAATATCCTTAAGTGCCAAAATTGAAAGGAAGGGCTATACCCCAGGTATGTATGAGATGGATTCCCAATGAAAACGATCTTTCTTCACTTAGCTTTTGTGTATAAATGTATAGTATTTTTACTAAATGCAAACATAATACAGTATTCTTTGGTAAAATAACCCAGTTTTCTTTCATAAATGGGAATGTAGTGTCCATTTTTAAATAGCTACTAGAAATGAGTAGTTCATTTTTATAATTCTAAGTTAACTTGCCACTTTTGGGACTGTTTTTCATCCATGTAGTCCATTGAACTTTCAGACTTTGGCTTAACAATCTACATTTCTGGAGTTTTAGTTGTTTTTGTTTTTGTTTAACAGCAGATTCATATTTTTTTCCCTCTAGGTGAATCAATTCAGATATTTGCTGAGATTGAGAACTGCTCTTCCCGAATGGTAGTGCCAAAGGCAGCCATTTACCAAACACAGGCCTTCTATGCCAAAGGGAAAATGAAGGAAGTAAAACAGCTTGTGGCTAACTTGCGTGGGGAATCCTTATCATCTGGAAAGACAGATACATGGAATGGAAAGTTGCTGAAAATTCCACCAGTTTCTCCCTCTATCCTCGACTGTAGCATAATTCGTGTGGAATATTCACTAATGGTAGGTATAGATTTAAGGATTTGTTGTTTAGTATTAAAGTCATGAGGATATCATTTTTTCTTACTCTAGGATTTGGTTTTTATATTCTATATCTCATATATACAAGTATATGTAAATCTGTGAGTTACAGTTACTAATTTTATGTCACATGTAAACGTGCCACACAGTATTATACGTAGTGGAGGAATTTTTCTTGTATATTCTATGTATATGTAAGTAAATGAAGGTCTGAGATAACATTAAAATTGGGTTATTAGTTTTTAAAAAAAGAAATAATGCTTGTAATTCTAAGCTTACTGTCTCCTTTCAATGTTTAGGTATATGTGGATATTCCTGGAGCTATGGATTTATTTCTTAATTTGCCCCTTGTCATTGGTACCATTCCTCTACACCCATTTGGTAGCAGAACCTCAAGTGTAAGCAGTCAGTGTAGCATGAATATGAACTGGCTTGGTTTATCCCTACGTGAAAGACCTGAAGGTAATTTGATAATGCATGTTTAAGCCTAATCTGTTATTACTATTTTCAAGAACATAATTTTGCTAATAATATTTTATGACTAGATAAACTCTTGTCTGTATCTGTAGGAAGTAGATGCATCCCTAATGTTAGATTTAAAACCTATATCCCCCTAGTTTTAATCACAAAACAATTATTATTTTTATCTTGACATTCCTTTTTAATATCTACTATTCTGTGTATTTTGACATGCATAAGAACATGCTGTTCGAATTGCGTGTATCTTTTTCCTTCAGCACCACCCAGCTATGCAGAAGTGGTAACAGAGGAACAAAGGCGGAACAATCTTGCACCAGTGAGTGCTTGTGATGACTTTGAGAGAGCACTTCAAGGACCACTGTTTGCATATATCCAGGAGTTTCGGTTCTTGCCTCCACCTCTTTATTCAGAAGTAAGCACAGCTCCTCAAGTCTGAAATGGGCTAACTCTCCTGGAAAAGAGCATTACAGACTTTTTAAAAAATACATTTAGATTTTGATTAACATCATATTTAATAGAGAAACATAAATTAGAACAACAGGATTAAACATTAGATTAAATTTAATAAGTAGGATTCTTATATTATTGGGGAAATAGGGAATAATTTTAATGTATCAATAGGAGTGGCATTTTGCAATCATGAACTAATTAAGTAGGTAGAATTTATCTTTTCCAGTTTAATTCTTGCACATTTTTACATTCCCAGTCATAGGGGAAAATAACATATTTGCAAAAATGTTAGACAAATATTTCTACACTGTTTATTTTTATACATCTCATATTGATGTCCACTAAGCATTTACATAAGCATTTACATGAGTAAAATGTGGCTCTTAACTTGGGAGAAGCTCACAGACTGATGAGAACAAATTTAGAAGCAAAATATTCCATAACAGTGGGATAGGAATACACACAGTTCATTTGAAGAGCAGTTCATTAGGCCTTGGAAATCAGGAAGGCTTCCCTGGGAAGGTGATTGTTAAGTTCAATCTTGAGAATACATCTTAATATATATTGTGCCGGGCTTTAAAGTTGGCCTTGATACCAATATAATACCAAGTAATTTTGTAAATCACTAGAATCAACTTTATCCTTTTGGTTATCACAGTTTAGCTATTTAACAATGAAATATTACTCCCAAATAAAACCTGAGTGGGATTGCTGCACTCTGCAAGAAATTGCTGCTTTCCCCCCTTAATTATCTGACTAGAAGAGTCCATTTTCCTCCAGATGTGGTTAATAGAAGATCCACTTTATCCATTGATTATAGGATATTTAGAATTTGTTCTTGCAAATTATTCATTAGCCATATTTTTCTATCCCACAATTCCATTTCACACAATTTTCCCTTACATGCTAAAAATGTTCTCCCACTTACTATAGATTTCATTACTACATTTTTATGCCAATGTTGCTGTCTTAAGTCCGTAATTGCTGATTTGATCTGAGACTTTCTGGCTGTACAACAGGCATTTTAAAAGAATGGCAATCTCAGTATCCACTTTTAAGCAATTTGTGGCAAAATTCTACTACCTTTTAAAGTGAACTAAAAATAAGAGAATTAAAAACTTTTAAAATCCTAAATTGGTTCAGAATGTGATTCAGTTAATAGTTACATAGAAGGGGGGAAGTTCCAGATTGTATTAAAGTGTTTTTCTCTTGTCATTAAAAGTTACTTGCTTTTTTTCCTTCAAAAACATGTTTTACCTAAAGTTTTGTGAGTCACTTTAGATTGTGCCACATTTAAATGCAAATAAAAAATGGGTCTTGTCCAAAAGATGTTTCAGTAAAAGAAATGTATTAAAGCCAACTAGTTGCCTTCCTGTGCCCATTCTCTCTCTACCTGAGAAGCAACTGAAATATAGTCATTTTGCTTAAATGTATGTGCATATGAAAGTCTCTCTAGTCATAGAGAAGGTGGGCAGACTCTAGAGCATTTTGGGTTCAGCATGGCTATTTCTTGATACAGTTTTCCTAGGCCCTCTCTGGTGTTTTACATCCACAGGTTATTACTTCAAATAAGCTCCAAGAACATTGTTTACACAATGGCATTCTTCCCAAAGCCTAGAAAAGAGATGAGTTGACTTTTGTAAAAGGATGAAAGGGATACTTTACAAAAGGAGATCATTACTATGAAAATGTTCTCCATTGTGTATTTGAATCTTAAGTACTACTAAATGCTGAGTAAAACACCATTCCCTGGTAAAATTTTACCATTAGCTTTTGGGAAAGAAAACTATTTGGGCATATATTGATCTAGTAATTAAATATCAGACACTTTATAGATAATACTAGTATCCTTTTCTCCCTTCCCCTACATGCTGTGTATGTTCTTTCTGATTCCTCAGTAATACTTATAATGTTAGTCATTGCTGCATTTTTACTAGACTTTATCAAGTCACTTTGTAATTTTTTTTCACTTTTTTTTTAGATTGATCCAAATCCTGATCAGTCAGCAGATGATAGACCATCCTGCCCCTCTCGTTGAAGGAACACTTGGTTAAATCAAGTTGATGTGGGTTCTGGACTGTATCTCTTCCCAGCTGAGGACAGAGAAGTATCTTGGAGACACGTTTTCAGAGGAAGTGGAATTGCTTTTGCCCAGAAAAATGGCAAACACATGAAACAGCCAGTGATCATGCTTTAGAAGCCTACAGCAACATTCTGGGACTGCTCCAACATGCTTGAAGATCTAAGCTTTTCTCCTTTAAAACAGGCACATACTAAGAGCAGTCTTCTTAGCCTATGGTCATACGTGTCAAGACACCACGTTGTAAAGAGGGATGATTTCCTTCTTTTGATTTGAAAATTTGCACATGCTCAATGCTTACATTGTGCAGTTCCGATGTCACTACAGCTTTTTTTTTTTTTCCATTTATGCCAGACTCTTGATACTCTTTAAAAACTTGTTTGTGGTCAGCACAACAAGGAACAAAAGAAAGCTTTGAAAAAACTTAAACATGAAAAAAACGCACTGACTTTTTTTTTTTATTTAATATAGCCTGGACTTTACCTGCGTATGCACATGCTCAGAAATGTCCTACTAGGCTGACCATGTATCACCTCTTCAGCTTGGATCCTATTGTGGATTTATTTACAAACATCAAATGCCTTCAAGCCAATCCTTCTTGCTGTATGTTTTGCAGCCTACTGTAGTAGATACGCAACAGATATGTGGGAAAAGAGATAAGAGGAGGAAGCTAATAGACTTTGTCAAGATTGTATACCTTCTTGGTTTCTTTTAAGAATTTGTTGCCTTTCTACTATTACAGCAAAGCAGCATTTTGTTACTGACTGCCTAAAATCACTTAATCTCAGGTGAACGCATCACTTGCCAAACTGTTGGAATGCTATTTGTGTTTTGTTGCACTGTTATTTTGTTTGGTTGGTTGGTTGGCTTTTTGGAGAGGGAAATTTGGAAAAGGGACATACACAAAAGTGATACCCCACCCACATTCCCTTTTTATCATTACATAAAAGAAGAAACTAGCAGAGCTAAGAATGGAGTAAAGATAGGCAGTATGGCAGGCACCAGCAAAGAGTTAAGGGCTTGTTGCTCTTAAAAATTATTGTTATTTTTATTAAGAGTATGGAAATTTTCCAGTCACTGGAGAGGAGGAGAAAGTGCATTTATTTTTATAACAGAGTTACTTAATTACCTCCAAAACACATATGTTGGAAATCATTTTTGCTGGTGCAGAGTGTTTTAATGAGCAGGAATATATATATATTCAGGTTACGATTAGAGAGCTTAATTTATACATTTCCTGTCCTGCTAAAGCTTCTCAGAGCTTGAAAACCCAAGTTTATTCTAAAAGTGTATAACTTCAAAATTATAAATACTAGAACGTGTGCTGGAATGAGAACTGTTTTCTATTTTTGTGGTTTTTCTAGTGAAAGTATTTTTTCCATTACCTAAAGAACATTTTGTTAAACATGAGAAACCACTCACTTTGAGTATATATAGATAAGAAGAGCAACCACATCAGTAAATTATAGTTTATATTAAAGATAATTTACAGTTGGCTCATAACAAATATACCAGCATTCATGATGACACTTAAAAACCATTTTCCAAGGTACCAAGTGTACTGATGGTCTTATTTTAGAAGGAATTCAGCTCTGATGTTTTTAATGAAAATCAGCATCTGTGATGTTGCAACATACGTGTGAAATGGGTGTTACATCTATCCTGCCATTTAACCCCACAGTTAATAAAGTGGCTGAAAATAACAGTAACTCTGGCTTGGTGCTTGACTTGGTTAAATACTGTCTTAAAGCTTCATACAAAACAAATAGGCTTTTCCATAAGTGGCCTTTAAGAAAACATGGAAGACAATTCATGTTTGAAAATGCTGACAGGGTGAAGAAAGCCCAGCGTAAAAATGAATCGCGTTTTAAGTGATTCAGTAAAGGGTTTGGGCTCCCGTAGCAAACTAATACTAGATAATAAGGAAATGGGGGTGAAATATTTTTTTATTGTTGTTAAATCATTTTGTGAATGTCCCCCTCAAAAGAAGCTAATGGAATATTTGGCATAAAGGGCATTTGGTGGTTTTATTTTTGTTTGGGGGGGGGGATTGTCTGAAAATCCCTTTTCTTTTCTCTCTTATGTCTAACTGACTAGGGAACAATTGTTGATATGCATAGCATTGGAATACTTATCACCATATACTCTTATAAATAACACATGAAGCAAGAATGACCAATATTCTGATAATTGGCACTGGGTCACAAAATGAAATGTGATTAAATTTTAAATATATAAAACTTTATCAAATAAAGTTTTATTTACCCCATTGAAGTATTTCTTTACTTTCTTGTTTAGAGGCATTACTTTACTCTTTTCTAAATATTGGTCAATTCCTGACATAAGATGTGAGGTTCACAGTTGTATTCCAGTATTCAAGATAGATTCCTGATTTTGCAATTAGGAAAAGTAAAATCCAAAACATTAGCAAAACAAAGTGCAATATTAAATGTTTGCTTTATAGATTATATTCTATGGCTGTTTGTAATTTCTCTTTTTTTCCTGTTTTATTTGGTGCTGAATATGTCCTTGTAGGCTCTGTTTTAAGAAAACAATATGTGGGAAATGATTTAATTTTTCCTATTGCTCTTCCTTGTGGAAAATAAAGTGTTTTGTTTTTTTCTTTTTTGTAAAATTGTTTGGAGAGTTATTTGAATCTTGATCATGTCAGTAACTCATCATACATGCAAACACTATTAGGACTACAATTAAACTCTATTTTAAGCCAGTCTGGATAAGAATTGCTTCAAGCCACCAAAGAGAACTACTGAAGCCTTAAAGGAATTTTTAATACTAATTTATCAGTGTTTGGCTTAATAATTCATCAAATTATGGATGCTTTTTTTGATAAAACCTATAAATTCATTATATAAATTCCAGTCCTCTCTATGAACCAGGTAAAATAGTTTCACTTTCAGGTACAAATTCCCTCTTGCTGTGATATGTCCAAGTTTCTAGTACTTCAAGAGCACATAAATTTAAAAGGTATATTAACATCTTACAAAAATATTTTTTCTGAATTTTTAAACAACAGTGAGTACTTTTTCTCAATGTGTGGATTTGACAGTGATTTGTAACAAGTACTTTTGGATCACATTTAGAAAATAACTATTTCAGTGTTATATATTTATAGATCAGCTATCAAGTTGTACATGTGCCTTACTATATGAATCTCCCATATTCTGAAATGTGTATACACATATAAAGTGTGTTACAAAGAAATGTTGAGACAATATAATCAATTTTATGGAAATAAGAGCTAGCAATCTACCCAATGTCTTTATACAATAAGGAATAAATGACTCGGGAAAGAATTAGAGCTTGGGAAGCGGAGACATAGGTTTTGGGTTCTGTAACTTTAGATGTAGCCTTAAACAAGATGTGTGAATTTTGATGTCTTCATCTACAAAGTGGAAAAGTAGGTATCCAAAGTCCCCTTCATCAAGGCAGAAGATTGTAATACATCTTTAGGTAAATAATTCTCTAAGTCAATTATAACATTGGGAATGAACCACATTGCTTCTAAATTTGTATTAGAATACTCTCAGGTCAGTACATATTTCAAGTTATATACGACTCTATACTTACCAAAATCTTTATCACCAGTTAGGATTTAATGAATGGCCAAACTCAGTATATTTTTCAGGATTATAATGTAACAGAGGGAGAAACTCAAGACTAGCTTAAGTAAAAAACTGTATTAACCAGTAATTCCAAGGATGAATTATATTAAGTACATTCAGATCCAGAAATCCAAATAATGCCCTGAGGACACACTCTTTTGTCTCTCATCTCTGTTCACTTACCTTTTTTCATATTAGCCTTATTCTTTGATATTAGATGGGCCAGGAAAGATAACCCCAACTTTTACAGCTTCTGGAAGAAAAGCCATCTTGACTCCAAATCACTTGTTAGGGGAGATTCTGATTGGCCAATATCTAGGTCATGTCTCATGCCACATAGAATGGGTTTCCCAATAGAAATCTGTTTCCAGAAGAAGGGAGAAAAAAGGTTACTATATATTCTTGCTATTTCAAGTGTTGTCCAAACCAGCAGCAATGGCATCACTTAAGAAGTGCATTAGAAAAGCAGAATATCAAGGTCTATCCCAGAATACTGTTTACATGATTCCCAGGTAATGTATAAGTACAGTAAAATTTAAGAAGCTCTGTAGCACACCAAAATTAAGAGATGAAGACACAACAGGCAACTTTATTTTCATGAGTCCCAAACTAACTGAGCTGAGGATTTGGGGTACTTAATAAGTGAAAAATAATCATGCCATTTTATTTTTTTTAAGATTTTATTATTCATTTGAGAGAGAGCGTGTGTGCACGCGCAGGAGCAGGGGGGAGGGGCAGAGGGAGACGGAGAAGCAGGCCCTCCACTGGGAGCCCTACACAGGACCGGATCCCAAGACGTGGGGATCATGACCTGAGCCAAAGGCAGCCACTTAACCGACTAAGCCCCCCCAGGTGCCCCAATAATGCCACTTTAAATCCCAAAGCCTGTTTATGGCTTGATATTTTTGAGATACAACTTTGTAACTACTATAATAATAAATATTATACCTTCAGAATTCCTATAACAACAATCAGCATTTCTCAAAACATGCATGACTGAATGACGAAATATTTTGCCTTTTTATTTCTTGATTTCAAAATCAATAGGAGATGCATTTTTCAATTCATGTGAGAAAAATTTATTGATATAAGAAAATTAATTTGACTTTTGAGGAATATAGTCTGCAATTTTTTTTTAGAAAAAATTTAGGAAAATGTGGGAAATACATGAATATGGAAATCTAATACATGAATATGTCAAGTTCAAGACAACCAGTAGTTTAAAAATCCAAATGCACAAGCCCAACTGGAAATAGAACCAGTATCACTGTCTTTGTTGAACAGCACGAAATTAAACATATAAGTAAAAAAACATATTTTTTCAAACCAGCTATACAGACACCAACTTAGGTAAATGAAGTCACGATATTATAGAGTCAAAAAAAACAAAAAGTTGCTTTAGAATAGGTCTAGTATTTATATGTATATAAATGTTTATATGTGCATAAAAGAGTATATAGCCTAATGTGATTAAAGAAAACAAGTGTTTATGACATTAGGAATTTCTGATACATTATAGTTAATTCTAACTGGAAATGGATATTTGCTACTTCTAAATTGAAGACTTACATAAGTTCTCAACATCAATTTCCAATCTAAACAAAAGGATTACTACCTCTGGCCTGGTAGGTCTCTGGGAACATTAATAAAGTTAAAATAGTGAGTTAAAACATCTTTGTATAATTTAGAGATTTATTTACTAGTTACACAAAACAGTCTTACCAGTGAACAGAAGGATGTGAAAGATTATATAAACATATTGTCCTAACATAAGTCTGACAGTGTCGATACAATGGTTGAAAGCAAATTATTGCACTTTAGATGACATGAATTTTTGCCAAAAGGAGAAGCCATCTGATCCTTACTGAATATAGGAATTTTTACTTATTAGATAATTTTTCTCTAATGAATTAATAGTTTAAATAATGATAGAAATGCAAAAAAAAAAAACTGCTAGAATAAGCAGCCAGTTTCTGCTTTGCTTTTTTTAAGGAAATCAACATTTCTACCTTCAAACGTAAGACACACTTTTATAATCTACACCTCTTGACAGATCTGAATCCCAAAATGTAGTACTCAAGATGTTTAGGACAACAGGAAAATAACAGGAAACTAAGATACAGCACACGCATCACGTAAACAAGGATGCTGGCAGCCTATAAAGGCATACCCGGAACCCAAACAACAAAATCACACACACATTCTCTTCCAAAACTGTTAATTCCCAAATTACAAAAGCAAAGGAGAAAATACCCTCTCCCCTTACTCCTCCTCCTTCTATTTGCAGAGTCAACTTTAGGAAACCCCTGTGAAGAAAGAGCCATAGGAGTGCATGCTGTGTAAGGGAAGCAGTGGACAAATGCCTCGGGCTGGTGAGTTTTTTTGAGTGCCTTGAGCAGACTGATCAGGAAAAGCCCAATAAATTCCCTCATTACATTGTCCTTGGTATCAGTTTCCTACTGGCTGCCTCAACAAAATACTTCAAACCAGGAGACTTAAAACAACTGAGATTTATTCTCTCACAGTTCTGGGGGCTAGAAGTACAAAATCATGGCATGTTCCTTCTGAAGTCTGTAGAAGCTGACATTTCCTTGCCTCTTCTTGCTTCTGGTGGTGGCTGGCAAACTTCGGCAGTGCTTGACTTGTGCATCACTGGAATCTCTCCCTTGTTTATCTAATGGCCATCTTCTCCCAGTATTATCCGTCTCTTCCTATGGATTTTTCCTGAGTCTCTCCTCATCTTCTACAGACATAGTCATGCTGGATTAAGGGCCCACCCTACTCCAGGATGACTTTATATTAAATAATTACATCTGCAATGACCCTGTTCCAAATAAAGTCATATTCTGAGATACTGCGGATTAGAGTTTCAACCTATCTTTTTAGGAGACACAATTCAACCCATAACAACTTCTTTTCCTCCAAAAAACTAAACAGGGTAACAATGTAATGCCTGTAAGAAAAAGCTACCTATTTAGAAGAAATACAGTTAGCTATTCCTCACTTTATAGAGCAGATTTAGTCCTGAACTGTAAAATCACTATAGATCAAAGGAAATATTCCCTTCCCACCACCCTTTTTTTTCCTGATGAGATAATGTGGGAGGTGAGCACTCATCTGGGAGATAAGAAACCTAAGTTCTGGTCCACAGACACTAAGTGGCTGAATGAACTTGAACAAGTCATCTGACTTTTCTGATGTTCCATTTCCTGCTTCCTTTTTTAAAATTTAAATTCAATTAATTAACATATAATGTATTACTAGTTTCAGAGATAGAGGTCAGTGATTTATCAGTCTTATATAATACCCAGTGCTCATTACATCACATGCCCTCCTTAATGTCCAGCACCCAGTTACCCCATCCCCCCACCTCCCTCCCCTCCAGCAACCCTCAGTTTGTTTCCTGTGATTAAGAGTCTCTTATAGTTTTTCTCCCTGATCTCATCTCGTTTTATTTTTTCCTCTCCTCCCCTGTGATCCTCCATTTGATTTCTTAAATTCCACATATCAGTGAGATCATATGATAATTGTCTTTCTCTGATTGACCTATTTTTCTTAGCATAATACCCTCTAGTTCCATCCACATGATTGCAAATGACAAGATTTCATTTTTTGATGGCTGAGTAGTATTCCATTGTGTGTGTATATATATATATATATATATATACCACATCTTCTTTATCCATTCATCTGTCGGTGGACATCTGTGCTCTTTCCATATTTTAGCTATTGTGGATGTTGCTGCTATGAACATTGAGTGCAAGTGCCCCTTCAAATCACTATTTTTATATCCTTTGGATAAATACTTAGCAGTGCAATTGCTGGGTCATAGGGTAGCTCTATTTTTAATTTTTTGAGGAACCTCCGTACTGTTTTCCAGAGTGGCTGCACCAGCTTGCATTCCCACCAACAGTGTAAGAGTTCCCCTTTCTCTGAATCCTCATCAACATCTGTTTTCTCCTAAGTTGTTAATTTTAGCCATTTCTGACTGGTGTGAGGTGGTATCTCATTGTGGTTTTGATTTGCATTTTCCTGATGCCGAGTGATGTTGAGGACTTTTTCATGTGTCTGTTGGCCATTTGGATTCCTTCTTTGGAGAAATGTCTGTTCATGTCTTCTGTCCATTTCTTGACTGGATTATTTGGTTTTGGGGTGTTGAGTTTGATAAATTCTTATAGATTTTGGATACTAGTCCTTTATCTGATAACATTGGCCAATATCTTCTCCCATTCTGTCAGTTCTCTTTTGGTTTTGTTGACTGTTTTTTGTCTTGTTTTGTTTTTCTGTTGCAAAAGCCTTTTATCTTGATGAAGTCCCAATAGTTCATTTTTGCCTTTGTTTCCCTTGCCTTTGGAGATGTGTCTAGAAATGAGTTGCTGTGGCCAAGGTCACAGAGGTTGCTGCCTATGTTCTCCTCTAGGATTTTGATGGATTCCTGTCTTACATTTAGGTCTTTCATCCATTCTGAGTCTATTTTTGTGTATGGTGTAAGGAAATGGTCCAGTTTCATTCCTCTGCATGTGGCTGTCCAATTTTCCCAACACCATTTTTTGAAGACACTGTCTTTTTTCCATTGGATATTCTTTCCTGCTTTGTTGAAGATTAGTTGACCATAGAGTTGTGGGTCCATTTCTGGATTCTCTGTTCCATTGATCTGTGTGTCTGTTTTTGTGCCAGTACCATACTATCTTGATGATTACAGCTTTGTAATCCAGCTTCAAGTCCAGAAATGTGATGCCACTGGTTTTGCCTTTCTTTTTCAACATTCCTCTGGCTATTCAGGGTCTTTTCTGGTTCCATACAAATATTAGGATTATTTGTTCCAGCTCTGTGAAAAAAGTGGATGGTATTTTGATAGGGATTGCCCTGAATGTGTGGATTGCTCTAGGTAGCATAGACATTTTAACAATATTTGTTCTTCCAATCCATGAGCATGGAACGTTTTTCCATTTCTTTGTGTCTCCCTCAATTTCTTTCATGAGTGTTCTACAGTTTTCTGAGTACAGATCCTTTGCCTCTTTAGTTAGTTTTATTCCGAGGTATCTTATGGTTTTTGGTGCAATTGTAAATGGGATCGACTCCTTAATTTCTCTTTCGTCTGATTGTTAGTGTACAGAAATGCAACTGATTTCTGTGCATTGATTTTATATCCTGCTATGTTGCTGAATTCCTATATGAGTTCTAGCAATTTTGGGGTGGAGTCTTTTGGGTTTTCCACATAAAGTATCATGTCATCTGTGAAGAGTGAGTTTGACCTCTTTGCTGATTCGGATGCCTTTTATTTCTTTTTGTTGTCTGATTGCTGAGGCTAGGACTTCTAGTACTATGTTGAACAACAGAGGTGATAGTGGACATCCCTGT